TAGGTGAACAAATAAATTTACATAATTCATTAGTTTAAACATAAAGTAAAATATAATGAATAATAAATAATAATAATAATAATATATTATAATAAATTACAAATAAGATTCAATATAGTTGTAATTTTTTTAAGTAAATTTTCTATCATCTAAACATTTTTATATTTATACAATTTTAATATAATAATTATATATTAGATAATTAAGTTTATATAATAAGAATTATAATATTCTTATTTTTATAAATTAGGTACAATCACTGTTTTCTGTATTGGAAAGATGCCATTAAATTGGTCTTTAATTGGAGATGTACTAGTATCATTTATGTCATTTGTGGAAGGTAGTTTGTTAGTGCTATCTTCATTTAATTATAATATTTGGTTATTATATGCTGCGTACATGATATTTGGAAACATTTATCATATAATGGTTACCATTGCAAGGTTTATTTTCATATAAAATTATTTATTAAAAATAATTAATCACATTATAATTTTATATGTACAATTTGCAGTTTTGAAGTTGCAAAATATATATCAGAAGATAGTTATGGTTTAATATTTGGTGTGAATACCTTTTTTGCATTATTATTGCAAAGTATATTAACAGCTATAGTAGTAAATGGAAATTTAAAATTAGATCTGAGATCACAGGTAAGACTGCTATTTAAATATTAATTAAAAATATATATTATAATTATATAAATTACAATAATAGGACTCATAAAAAACATATGTAAAAAAAAATTTAATAAATATTAGATATTGAAAATTTATATTAATATTTAAATTTATATTAATATAATATTGGAAATTATTTATATTTGATATTATTTGGTTTATCTGTTTCTATAATATTTATTTTTTTAATTATTTGTTTAAAATAATTTCCTATTAAATCAGTAAATTTAATTATTAATTTTGTATACATTGTGAATATATGATTTACTTTATTTATTAGTGTATTCCAACTTATAATAATATTATTAACTTCCACAAGTGTCATATTTGATAATGCAATTATTTATACAATGTTATTGTTTTTGAACTTTAACAGTAATATTGAATCATTATTATTTATTAATATTATTTAATTTAATTATTATTTTACTTAATAATTTAATAACGCAAAATTTAATAAATTGTATATTTTTTATAATACAAATTATCAGAAGATTTCTGATAAGAAGAATTTTTTCAAGTATTTACAGTAGTACAGTACATGATGATATCATTAATTTATTAGAAGAATACAAAATAATATACAAAATTTCTTTAATATTTCAATTTCATAGATATAATTCATACATTCTTTTATATTGATATTTATATATATATATATATCATTTAAATTGATTTTGATGTGATATACTTTGATAAAAAAGATGTTAACTCCATCGATTAATTTAAATTAATTTTGTTTTTTCATAATTTTTTATAGACAAAAATATGTTTTTTTGCAATAAATTTTGCAATACCAATTTGAATAATTATATTCAATAATTATATAAATAATTCACAATTTATTATAATTGATTGTAATGATATATACCATTTAAGCGCGTGAATTACCGGTAATCGAAACTTAACTTGTCTCTTAATAATATAAAATATCTCTTAATAAAAATAATATATATTTTTTACATTTATAAAATTATTGTATTTTTTAAAACGTGTATTTTTTATAAAATACGTAATTCAAAACATGTTTTTTTTAGAAAATTATTTTTGCATATTAGTTTTATTTTACTGGAGCATATATTATTTTATTTTTTTATAAAATTATTTAATTTTCTGATTTATTGAGTTTTTCTTAATAAATAAATATATTAAAATAATATAATAAGTAAAATATATATGATATTTAATAATTAGCCATATTTGATTATTATAAAATATGGTATCATAAAATGATAAATTGATGAAAAAAACTTTAATATTAGTAAACAAGTTTTCAAATACATATTTATTAAAATTTTTACATTTCTTTTTATGAGTTCTATTAATCAATTAAATTTTTATCTGTAATATTATAATATCTTACTATGTACTTTTTTTCAGTATTTTGTTTATGGTGGTTATTTCATTGTTATATCAATATTTTATATAATAATAGGTATTATAAACATTATACAACATTGTAAAAAAAGGTATAGGTTTTAAAATATGGAAAAACATTCACAGAGATATTGAAGATTAAAAAGTATTGAAGATTAAATAATTTAGTAAAATTATTAAATTCTAATTTATATTTTAAAAATATTAATTTTTAAAAATATAATAAATAAAAATTTATTTTGAAAATTTATAACAGGATCATTTAGATATGTAATATATAATTTTATATAATTTTATAAAAACAATTTATCAAATTGCAATATCAGTTTTTTTATAATATAAATTTTAAAAAATTTTAGTTAATTTTAATTATATTTTTAGTAAGTTTAAATATCAAAAATATCAAATGAGTTTTTTAATTTCAACATTTATTTGATTTTGACTATTATCATATATTATATCTATATTGATAAAACTTATACAATACTTTAAATATTATCCATTTCTGATTTTTCCTACATGTTATGTATATTATGTTATAATATGAAATGAGTAACTACTAAATTAAATAATAAATTAATAAAAAATTAATAAAAAAATACGATGGAAGATATATAAGCATAATTATATAGATATTTTTAAATTGTGATGTATGATTGTAGAAATATAAATGATAAATAAAATGATATGTACATCTAAGAAATATAAAAAATATATAAATTTTATTCATTTTTAAAAAAGTTTTTATAAGACATTTTTAATATTCTTTTTCCATTCTTTTCCAATTATCCTTATACTTCAATTTAGATAATATTTTATTCTTCTTTTGTGGTAATTAACAGTAATTTTACTTTATCCAAAACGAATTCTCTACATTTCTGAAAAATAAAATAATTTTTTATAATAAAAGTTCTTTTTATCTAATTTATTTAAGTTATTTTTCTTTTCTTATGTTTAGAAAATTGCTTACAGACGAAAATGTTTGAAACAAACATCTTCCTAATTCGCGACGAGGATTTGCATTCTTGTTAAAATGTTTGAATAATTTCCACCATACTAAACAATCTTGTATACTCTGTTTAAATTCCTGATTGAATACATCATCCATTGTATCATTTCGTATTATAGATATAACAGATTTCATTGATTCATTTTCGATAACTTTCGAAAACATACAAGGATAATTGTTACAATCGCTTATATGCGACTGTAATTTATCCAATAACAATGTATCTTTTAAGCAAATTTGTAACATCTTGTAATAAAAAATTAAAAAATAATAATCACTATTACATAAAAAATTGTAATTTTTAAAATTTTATGTATCTGTATTATTATTTAAATATTTTATATTTTTATTTTTAAATATTATATTTACAAATAAATTATTTATATACAATTATAAATAAATTATATATATCCATATTTTTATGTACTATCTCAAATAATAAAAAATTTATGCGATCAATAATAATGTTATATACATGCATATACACATACATATATATATATATATATATAGATGTATTTACCCAATTTGGTGAAATCAGTACAGGATATATTTCATAAAGACTCCTGTTTGATTTATCAAAATTTATTAAATTTGTATTAGTATCTTGTGCCATAGCCGCATTCGATATTTTAGAAATATATAATGATAAGATTAATGGTACTTCTATGACACACAATTACACAAAATTGTGATAAATTCTTCAAATAATATTTGAAAGGTTATTTAATATATCGATAATTATGTACTTACTATGATGATATAAAAATATTATATTCAATAATGTTATTAACATTATAAAAATATTTATTGGTTTGAAAATTTTGTCATGGAATTAGTAATTGTAGGCAACTAAATAAATAAAAAGCAATACACGGTATAAAAAAAATATTGATTTTTATTAAAATCTAATCGATTTAAACTACTCGAGTAAATTCATTCAATTAAGTAATATGGAAATATTTATAATTATAAATATCATAATTTTCAATTGATAAAATAGATATAACTATTTTATTTATTAAAATGCAATATGATTATTTCAGGTATTTAAAATTAAATTTAGATTATAAGTAAACAGATAAATTTAATATGAATATTTTTTTTAAATGTTAATTTTAAAATTATAAAAATATAAAATTATAAAAAATAATAAATAAATAAAATGTTATAATAAAAATGTTACTTTATATATATATATATATATTAGTAGTTATAGTTAATTAATATCATAATACTAATTAATTTTAGAAAAGTGATACTAATATTTTATTGAATATTGTATCTATTTTTTTATTTTTTTTTTATACCTTTTTAAAATGTCAATTATTATCAGTAAAAGTAATTTAATGAAATATATATTAAAAAGAGATTGTATTACATTAATTTTTTGATTGCATCGAGAACGATAGATTCGCAAGCTTTTGTAACTTGTTGCGTTAAACATGACCCTATTTCTTGAAGACAAGATAATTCTGTTCGATCTGCTGCTAGAGGATATTCTTCTAAATTATTGATGTGAGGATTTTTCACCATTGTTAAACGTAATCGATTAAGTTTGGATTCTTCTTCTGGATTTAACGATTCTAGAAAATCGATTTTTATGCAATAATTACATAGAAATTTTCTTAATATTTCTGATTAAAAGATTAAAATTATTTTATTTTTTTTATATATCGGAAATTATTAAATAAGAATAAGAATAATTTAATGAATATATTTTAATTTTTAAAATATAGTGAAAAAGAAATGAGAAACTTAAAAATTAATTAATATATAATAATAAATAAATTAATTAATAATAAATAATTAATTAATTATAATATTAAAAATAATGATATTATTATTACTATTATTATTATATATATATACATATATTTTCAATTATTATTGAATAAATTTTTTCTAATTTACAGACTCTATTATAAGATTATTTAATTTATTGATTATTTAATTATATTACTTATTATTATATTATTTTTTTACTATTTATACTTTTATTTTCAAGTTCTGTAATCTCGTTCATCAATTTTTGTCGAATAGCTTGCACTTTTTTAACTGCTCGTCTCTTTTTTTTTATTTCCTCATCATATATCTTTTCCATTTTTTTTTTAAATTTTTCTGTGTTATTTTCGAATCTGCCAAATCTTTATTTTTTTTTGATCTTTTTTCTCTATTCTTTATCTTCAATAAAAAGAAACATTATAGAAAATTGTATTTTTAAAAAAAATAATTTAAGTTATTGATCGTCTCACATCAATATTCAATCGCATTTGAATTAATCTATTGTCCTGAAATTGTTTATATTTTTGCCATAATTTGCCACAAATTTCAGCTGCACGAAGCAATTTTAATCTTAATCCGCGATTAGAAAGAGTTTGAAATAATGAGACAATTTTTCCCATATTATAATCATCTCGTCCTCCACCCTGTAAAAAAGATTATTTATTTAATTTATTTACAATTAATAAAAAGATTATTTATATATCGACTATATAAAAATATTTCATAAGTTTAAACATTTTTATAAAAAAATAAATACATCAATAGTAATATTAACTTTTTTATTCAATAATTTTTTTAGTAAGAGAAACAAAAATTTATTATTTATTTTTAAAAAACTCATAAAATTTATTTTGAATAAATAGATCCAAGTTTTACGAAATAATAAATGTTTAATAAACAAAATACTCATAAAATATTCATAAAATATTCGAAATAAAGAATTCTTGTTATATTTAGAAAATGAAATAAGAATTCTATTTCTTTAATCATATTTTTTAAAATATGAATTTGCATAAAAATCCGAAACCTATTTATAAATCACGAATATTATATATATATATATATAAAATTTCAATATTCATGAATATTGATTTTTACCAACTCGATAAATGTGCAGTCCCAATCAGTACCATCATATTGGCATTGCATAGTTGCTTTCTCAACGTCTTCAGTAATCTCAGTATGTTTCATACAATATGTAAGAACCCAACTTTGAGGTATATTGATCACAGGCAAGATTCTCCAAATTTTATTTGTAATATTCTCTAACATATTCAATGAGCTTCTATTGTTGGTAGGTACTTCCATGAGTTCCATATCCGGAGGAAGCGTCGTCTCCGTAAAATCTTCATTATTCTGAAATAAAGAATTAATTTACATTACATTTCAACAAATTGTTAATTAATTTCAATCATTGAAAAATCATAAAGTTAACTTGTAATTTTTTCAGATGATTATAGCTTTTGACAGATTTGAAAAATATAAATATCACACATATGATGACAATTATATGTTTTAGCATGGAAGGATAGAATTCTTGAAAAATATTTGTACATGATATACAAGAAATTGCAATAAATAATGATATATTTAGTTAAATTTTAGTACTAGACTATTTAAAATGTTATGAATTAGTATCTAGGTTACAAATTATTAGTTTTTATTTAAACTATGAAGTTACATATTCTTAATTATTATCGATTATTTGTGTATAATATTGAATCAGCAATTTCGCAATAAATATCAACGTAATTGCCAGAGAAGTAAAGAGAAATTTTCATTAGTAGAAAATTACTATGATCTTATGGAACTTAATTGTATTAAAATAATTTCTATTTCTGATTAAATAAATATTTTATATCAATTAAATTCAGAATTTTTGTTTAAAATATTTACAATGTTCTATTATATTACAATTTATATTGTATACAAATTTGAAAAATTTTTTTCAAAATAAATTTAATTAAATTAAAGTTGTGCTATTTAAAAAATTTGATGGAGGTAAAATATTTACGTAACGAGATTCGAACAATTTTTATTGAAATATAAGATCATGAATAAATTCGTGGAAAATTTGTTTCATAATCAATCGTTGATTTACGTAGAAAACGTCATTCTATTATTTCTTAAGTTTTACGAATTTGATGAAGATCTCTTTCTTACGATATGCATTTTAACTAATCCTTAACTTTATACTCTTGCTAACAGAGTAAGCATGTAAAATGTTTATTCTTTATATAGGTATATTTTTATTTAGAAATGAAATGTTAGCAATTGATTTTAATAAAAGATTAATTGAAATTGCATTTTTCATATTAAAACTAAATAACAAATAAATAAAATTAAATTTTCATTTGAAAAATTACTTATAGATCATTGATTTTAATTCTCGGATCTTCATGGATCAAAATTTAAAAATCATTGCTTTTAAATGAAGAAAAATAAGAATTTTCTTGGTAACTGATAATACAAATAATAAATAATAAACATTATATATGATATTGACTGTTTACAAAAAATAATATTTTCTATGAATTGAATATCAATGGAATTTTCAATACAAATTGATTTTTAACATTATTGATTTTTTAAAATATATAATTTATAATATAATATATTTTGATATAGATTGCAATATTTGTGTGTAATAAAAATTTAAACGTTTTCAACTATTTAAATTATTATGAATAGTAGTTAATAATATTATTATTTTATATATATATATGTTTATAAAAATATGGTACATTTTTGGAGAGTGGATTCTAGACATCAAAACGATGAAGAAAGTTCATATATACATATGTCCAATAAAGTTCAATTAACTCATTAATGAAAGAAAAAACTGACACTATATTTTCATTGAAAATTAAGAGTTAGAAACAGCTTGTATTATAATTAAATAAAAATTTCATTACATTTAAATTAAAGAAGCAAGAAGAAAGAATTGAGAAATATATTTATATGAGAAATTTGCAGATAATTTTTTTTATGAAATGATTTGTAATTTAAATTTAATTTAAATATATTTTATTTTAATGTAAAATTATATTTTATGTGCACAGAATATATAATGTATAGTATTTTAAGTTTGTATAAGATTATTGTGTAATTAGATTGAGTAACAAGTTTGCTCTAAAAAAAAGATTAAATGTTATTTATTTAAATAAAGATATATTTAATATTATTATATATATTTAAGTAAACTAACGTAACATTTATGTTCTTAATTTTTTTTCTAGATTTATTTAACAAATTATTTGGAAGCTTTTTCATGAAAAAAATTTCATAAATATTAAAATAAATAATAATAAAGCTTAATAAATATCTGATAATCATTCTATAAAAGAATATAATTTTTGTTTTCACATTAAAATATGATATGATATAATTATTCATATAAAATGCATGCAAAGAATGTATAATATGCCTCATGTAACAAAAAAATATTCTGTCTCAAATTTTAAAATTTCCATGTATAGAATAAAAAAATTTAAATATATTATTTAAGATAAAAACTTCTTATCATAGATAATGTTTACATGTTAAATAATAAATTAATTATTTTCATTTATTTATTTGATTATTTAATATTTCAACGATGAATTAATTTATATAATTAAATATTTACTTAAAATATGTAGTCTACTAAATCTAATAATTTAATAAAAGATAAAAGATAATATCATATTTGAAACGTTGATCATGAAAGTGTTCATATCAATTGTTATCATATCTAGGTTTTTCATAACATGACATTTATAACATTAGCTTTGTATTATAACAAGTGACATTGATAAATGTATTGATTCTTACATGATACGTGAGAATGGATATTGGAGAGCGATATGAACGATAGCATGTATCATATTAATGCTTGATAAGCGCGATATAATCGACAAATTTTTAATTCTTTTTTTTTACAAAAAATATAAAATAAAATATATTCAGAAACGTATCACGTATTTTTAATAGTTTAAACATTAAATTTATATAGTATGTTTCAATATATATTATTCATCTCTCTTACAATAAATATTTCAAAAAAGATATACAAAAGATATAGAAATGTTTCAGGAAGATGTATAATATCAAAGAGATCGTGTCATTTATTTTATTTTCCGATTCATGCCATTTTATTTATCTTACGTTAAAGTTCTAGAATAATTAATTACGCATAATATCAATTAATGCATGATTAATTATATAATTATATATAAAATGATATAATATATGACATTATTTTAACTTTTTAACTTTAAAAGTTAATATTTTGGAAAGAATTTATGAAAAAAAAAAGTTTACGTAACATTTTTAAAAAAATTTGACACAAAGTATAATAATATACAATAAAAAATATAAAATTCGAAATTCTTTATAGTTATAACAAAATGAAATAAATGACAATGAAATATTTTTCTGTATTTTTTGTATCTTTGAAGATATTTGTCTTGAAAGTTTAAAATAAAATACTTGTGTATATATATATATATATACACAATTGACCCGGTAATTATTCTCGAGGATATATATATATATATATATATGTTAAATAAAATTTATTTTTCAAATTATAAATAATTTAATTTTATATTAAGAACGCCTGTATATAGGCAACAGGACTAACATCAGCGATCTTAGTCGATAACATTTTACATCGACATAACATAATTTACGATGGCGCTATATTACAGGCAGAAGAGATATAGCGCCATCACACAAAGCTGCAATTAAATTGATATTGTTTTACGTGGTAATTCTATTTAACTGTTATCTTAATAACAGGAAGAACTTTATTATTAATGTCTTTGAAAAAAATAAGAATTATATAATATAAAATATATTTTCTATTATATAACATTATATTATTATTAATGCGCTAATAAACTTTATTTTTCAATGCGTTACGATTAATTAAGTATAAAACATTGTAAGTTGGAATTTCCAGATTCTTCATTAACATCTATTCATAATTAAGTTTTTCTCAAAGTGAATCATAAACGTCAAAAAAACTTTTTTTTGCAAACAAAATTAACAGATGAAGTAACACGATTAAAATATCTCATTATTTCTATAAATGATTGCAATTTTAAGATTCATTATCTCTCATATAATAGTAATAATAAAATATTCTTTTTTAGATCGTATAGTTTATACTAAATTTAAATTATAATTATACTATAGTTTATATTAAGAGAAAAAGATATAATAAAAATTTTAAAAAATTTAAACAATAAAAATTCTGCTTCAAACATAGAAATTTTTTAAAGAGTTCCATAATAAAAATTATGGAAGATTATATCATGAGTTAGAATCGTTTAATTAAATCTGACTCAAGACGGATCTCTTAATTGCTCTTATTGTGCCATCATTTGACTCTTTAATAATTTTGACCCGGTAATTATTCTCGAGGATTCGCGAAGAAGATAACTCCTTTCGATTCGCTTTCTCTGGCTATTGGCCAACGAAGTGTGAAACGAAGCTAATTTCATTTCTCGACGTCAAATAAATTTCAAAAGAAAAAAAATAAAAAGAAAATTTGAGAAAGAAAATTCATTAATTCTTTGAGAACATAATCTTTGTCTATGATTCGTTTCTAGATATATGTCATTCGAACGATTCAATTCGACAAGCATTTTCTTCTTGCCACTCTTGAGAGTCAAAAATTAAATTTCAAAGCTCTTTTGCATAATAATTTATCAACATGTGATTAATGTTATTAATTGGTAAATTATTATTATGCAAATCTATAAAATTTTACTAATAATATTATTGCAAAATATATTAAGCTCTAAACATAATAATGTAATCTTTGATAAAATTCATATTATCCCAAATGTATAAATGTATAATAGTATAGAAAAAAAAAAAATAAATAAATAAAAATAAAAATACAGGATATCCGAAATATATTTATTATAAAGTATTTTCTTAAAAGTCAAAGAAGAATTCGATTTTTTTTTATTTAAAATATTTAAAATTTTTTAATTAAAATAATAATCTTGTAATATTTAGTTTTCCGAATGGTTTTGCAATGCAGACTTCTTATCATAGAAAAATTATGATATTGTTTGAGTTTAGTTTGACATATATATCTATTTGATTCATTTACTTTTTCTTGATACACTTACTAATAATTTTCAAATAATATTGTGTTTGAGTTTAATTTGGTATATATATTTATTTGATTCAACTTTTTCTTGATACAATTACTAATAGTCTTTAAATAATGACAAATAATATGTGCGCATTATCAAGTCAAAAAGATATCAGATTAGATATTGTGAATGAACGAAGCACTTAGATTTGAATTAAAAAATTACGTAAATGCATAATTAAACAATATTATTTTTACATACTAAAATAAAAATTATATCGATGACATTTTAGGAAAACAAAATTCTTCGAAGACTCTTTTTTCTTCAATTTTAAATTAAAAAATAAACCAATGACATATATGATATGTATTTATCTATTTGCAGACGAAATTCTGCAAAAGATCCCCATGACGCATCATGTTCACGTCATCATATACAAACCAGGTTAATGATAAAACCAGCTTAAAATTATTGAGAAAGTAAGTGGATTTTGATTTCTTGTATCGCCAGTTAATTCCTACGATATATGATGCATTCTATGGTATTCTAGTAAATTATCATATATTTTTCTTGAACAGAATCATATTGAAAAATTAAAAAAAAAGAAATATTTAATGGAAAAAAGATTATTTTGTAAAAAAAGACCATTTCCAAAGATTTACAAAGATCTTAGGTAATTTATGTACATGTAATTTATTTGATCAATCATTCAAATATACAAAGCATTAATATATTTGTAAGATAATTTTGAAAGATTTATTCTAAAAAATAAAACAAACATTGGTATACAAAAATGTCCATATTTAGAGTTAAATTGAATCAGAGAAGTGATTTCTTATAATGAAAAATCCTTGCTTATTTCATTCATGGCCAAATTGTAATTTTCTTAGTTTCTCAAACAATAGTAGGCTTTATTATTGTCACAATGTGACGTTTGTCATTCTTCAAAAATAATTATTCCAATTCATTCGCGACTCGTTTCAAGAATTCCATTCATGGTTTTAATAAATGGTTTCATCATTTCACTTTATATTTTTTTTTACTTTAACTATTTCATTTACATTTATCTTCGAATATAACGATATAGTTTATGTATTTCGATTGATAAAACAAATAAAAGAAAAAAAAAATTACTAAAAAAATTTACTACTTTATAATATAATTTTCTTTTAGAATTATTTCAAACGCAAAACATTTCAGAAATCAATATTTAATCACTTGTTTATCTCACATGCATTGTCCACGTTGTTAACTTTAAGCATACATAATTTGAATAAGATTATACAGACCGGAAATATACACCTCTGCTTAAAAGTTTAAAAATCACTTACTTTTTGTAAAAGAATACAAACATTAAAAACAGCATAATTCGTTATATCTCGTCTTGAACAAATTTATTAAATCATTTCGAAATTAATCGAATGTTAATTTATATCACAATATTTAACTGAATATTCAATCAACGTTCGTTTGCACCGAATATGTGAAAAATTTTACGTTCAGTAGCACTCGGTGAATCGTATCAATGATTTTCAATAACGACACGTGTTTCTCTCCCCTCCTGGCTGTAGTTGGGATTTCCTGACAATAAAACTATTATAACCGGGCATTTCCAGCATAAGAGTAACAAGTCGTGTTGGCTTGGTTGGACGACAGCGTATCGGTGGAAAGGATTCGTTTCCAATGAATAAATATGACAGTGAGTAGTGGGGATGCAGTCAAGAAGCCAGTTACCCGCGAGCATCTCGCCGCCACTGCTTTTTCTTCCTGTGCACTCAGTTCAACATCGTAGCGAGGGATCATCGGATCGTATTTCGTGTCCGATCAGCTTCAGAAACAGAGAAGGAATATGCAAATCCGCGAAATATTTTTTAAATCGGTGAGTGGTAATCCTTTGATGAATTAGAATAATTAGAATTAGTGAAAATTGATTACAGTTTTCATTTCATTCATTAATTAAGATTTCCTTTGTATACGTTTTGGAGAGGAGATGGAATTTGTAAACAGTTTCGAAGATATGCCATATGATATTTAAAATTGCAATCGATATCTTGGAAATTTAATTAATCTGAAAATTAAAATTGTTTTAATTGGTAGGATGTTCTTTTTAATAGATTTCTAGCTTATTTTAACTATGTTTTAATACATTGTGTTTACACTAAACTTAAGATAGTAATCAGATAATAATTATTATAATTAGATTAATTATATGGATTAATTATAATTATTGATTGTATAATTTTTATTTATTTCTACTGTTAATATTATTTTTTAGTTAGTATTATATATATATATATATATATATGATCATGTTATATAATACATGTTATTATGATTTCAATTTCGTAATAAAAAAATTCAATATATTTCTTCAATTCTTCAAGTATTATAGATTGTTCATCAACAAAGATTCCATAGATGTCGATTTCTCAGTAATGAAAAGTTACAAGTAGCGATAACTTATCTTCTTATATATATATATATATTTCGCGTTACTTCGTTTTTCACAATATTATTATTTAAATTATTCTTTTTCGGTCAAATAATTCTTCATATATATATATATATATTTCTCTACAACTTTTCTCACGTTCCTAAATATTTTTTATAAAAATGCTCGATGCTTAGTTTCACGATTAGTATTCCTCGGACCATGAAGGACATGTTTTTATCTAGTCTTTTTAATGATTTTTATCATATGCTGGAATAAAAAATTCTAATAGAAATTCTTTTATTATTTTTGAATTGCAATGTTTATAAAGAATGTCATACATTATTTTTCATCATAGAAGATAATTCGATTTAAATTCGATTTTGTGTACAATCATATCAGTCAACAGTTGAAACGTGTGTACGTGTTTTATTTATTAAATTAGACACGTATCCTATCGAAGAATTCATTTGTCATTCGCTCATTGTTTCTGTCGGCATTGCGGGATTCTCTATCGATCTTCGTGAATCTAAATACTGTTAAAATTACGAAAAACTCTGGAGAGAGAGAAATTGGCAAGATGTACAACTGAAGATTGGATACAAAAAAGATTATATGTACTGAAAATTAAGATTTAAGTTTAAGAGAAAAGATTTCTCGATAGAAATTACAGAAATTATCGTTCTCATAAATCAACAAGTGTTTCGTTCAGAGAAAAAGGAGTGAAATTAAAGATTGTTAGAGGAAGTGAAAAATTATGAAATTATATAAACTCTTATATATTAGTATTTGCATAATACATTGAAAAATAATTGTAGTGAGTTTCTTATGTGTTTGAGGCAACAGTATCAGGAACAATAGAGAGGCGTGGTATAGTTTCTCTTGTTTTCGTCACATGAGAACTCGTCATACGTTAATTTCAGCCAAGAAAGTCGGACTCTATGACGTCACGGTTTGCTCGCTTTCACTCGTCTCGTTGTTTGCCTCTCGTTCGTTTCAAATCGTATAATTTTCATTAATTTTACGATTACTGTTTTGTGGAATCTATTGTGAATCTATATGTAAATCTTCGATATTTGTTCTATGTCCTCGCTTTGAAATTGATTGTGATCAATTAAAATACGAAAATATATTTTCTATTTTATATATGTTTTTGAGTTTTCTGAAAAACTGTTGAATTTTTTTTAGGAAAAGATCATGACGATGAAAGTATTTTTATAATCATGTTTAATAATTTTAATATTGGACGTAATTAAACTGATTAGTTTACTTATATATAGTTTAGATTAGCTAGCTATTTTAAATTTATATATAATAATTGATAAAATATAAGTGATATTTTAATTTTTTTATCTGGAAATATGCATAATATTAAATCACGAATATTATGCGTCAATTTATGATAAGTTAAAGAAAATATTATTTTTTAATTGATTGTTTATAGACGTAACAACTGCAATAACTGATTATTGATGTTTTAGTTAGAAAAATAGTGTATTTGAATGTGTAATTGAATACAATAATTTATATAATAATTAATTTAATAAAAAAATTGTTTTATTATTTATTGAATATAGAACATAGAAAAATTAAATGAAATTTTATTACAATTTTATTATCAAATATATGATATTTGATGATTTTTTATTATAATTATTTTCTGTGAATAGTGTTAATAGAATACAATAATGCTGTATCTTTTGCTTTATCTTTTTATTAGATATATTTCAAAAGTTATTAATAAAAAACAATAATTCAAAAATAAAATATTGCTCTATTCTAAATAACTTTTAATTCAAATAATTCACAATAACAAATTATATGTAAATATCATAAATATAAGTTTCATAATAAGGAGAAATAATAATAAATTTTAATATTTTTATGAATAATAAATAACAATTTTATTAATTTATAATTATCTATAATTAAGAGAAATTAATTAGGTCTTGAATATATTTGATCCACTTTAATTGTTGTGAACAATCAGAGCGTGATTCCTACACGAAACTTTTTTTTTTGGCATAAAAATGTCGTAGATATAGATGTCGTGCATAATGATTTATTTATCAATATCACATTGACCTCGAGCATAATGTGATCTCTATAACATAAATTACATTTAAAAGTGACGAGTACTGTGTTACCAAAGAAAAAAAAAAAAAAGAAAAAATAAAAATAAAAAGAATTTGCGAAATTTTTAATTATAAGATTATAATTTCTCTTTGATGTCGTAAAAAATTGAATATCTTTAACATAATTTGGATGAGTTAAAAATATTCAAACGATTTAAAAATATTTTATTAAGTATTAAATATTTTAAATAATTATTTTTATTCAAGTTACTATAATTTTGTTATTTTTTTTTCTGTCACTCAAGATAGATAAATATGTCAATTGTAGAATTTATTTTTTTCTTTTAAAACATTTTGCTTTTTCTAACAAAACATATTAACGTATGACAAAATATTATAATTATATCATAATAATAATTTGTGATAATTGTGAGATAATAATAGAATAATATCTAGAGAAATTTCGTAACAATACCGGAAATTATACGAATGTCGTCATACATTTTTAAAGCGTAAACTCAGTTTTGCATAATCTATGCAAATCTATTTCTATTCTTCAAATTACGCATGTTTTATTTTATTTGGAGGATGAAATTCTTTTATTCTTAAAATTTAAATATTTTGCCTCTTGATAATACTTTGTTTGCGACGTTGTTTTGAAAATTTTTTTTCTACTCGAAAATAAATACAGATCTTTAGAGAATCTTTCCTACGCTCTAAAAATCTTATATCTTCTAATTTGCAATAATTTATTTTTTCGCTTCACTTATAAATTTTTTTTTTTTTTTAATATTTACTTTCTTTTCTTTCAGATAATATCGGTGTTATCGATATTATTGGTGTTAAGAGGCGTATCAGCGCAATGTCTGACCGGAAACGATAGTCCTTCGATGATGAGCGCTGGCTCGAAGAAAGCCATAATCGATTCGAAATTTCATTTCGCTCTTGAGACCCTTAAAAAGATATCTTTATTCGAATCTCAAGACAATGTAATCTACAGTCCTTACAGTATTCATCAGGCTGTGACCTTGGCGTATTCGGTTCCCGAGGTACCACCGAGGAAGCCTTGAAGAGAGCATTACAGCTACCTGCTGACATATCAAAAGTCGACGTACAACGATATTATTCCTTCGAGAATACCCTCAAACAACAAATCAACGGTCAGGTGAGAAGGCTCGAAGTGGAGCGATTACATCATTATTGTTTAAGTTTGCAAGTATTCCAAGGCGAGCCACATAATCGTGCAACATCTGGTTCCTTTTGTTCAATCGAACTAACAATGTTAGATATACAAGATGTTAATATATTCATAGAATATTGATTTTAGAAATCGAAACAAAAATTATGGTAAAAATCGATTATGGCTCATTTATTAACATTGTAACAGCCGTCAAGTTTTAGAAAATTCTCTAACTTGCAATTTGCAAAATGATATTATTAACTGGTAATCGATTGTTTAACTTTTATTTTTTACAGGCAAAAATATCGCAAAGAATTTAAATAGCTTAATTTGTTTCAATTTATGTAGGAAATGTTTTAACCTTGAAGTTTCGTAAAATTCTTTAAGGAATCAGTACATGCGATGAATGAGTAATATTTGTTTCTTTGGTGGACACAGTTGGAATTATGTGATAGTTTGATTACTTATATAATTCTCGTTTTTGTTTGCAGTTACATATATTTTATATATTTTCTCTCGATTTTTGTAAAGTTTTTATATTTCTCAAAAGTTACATATTATTTCGTTCAATTACAAAATTGAATTTAGCAGGATAGTAATGAATGAATCATTAAACTAATTTCGTCTCTTTTATTTTCCAGAATGATGTATCACCTAATTACGAGCTTAACTCGGCGAATCGATTATGGATATCAGACAAGAAAAAAGTACGGGAATGTATATTAAGTTTATTTGGCAATCAATTGGAAAAGATCGATTTCAAAACCAATCCAAATGCTGTCCGCGATCAAATTAACAATTGGGTCAGCAACATGACTAAAGGTCACATTCGGGATCTTCTTCCCCCTAACAGTATCACAACAGACACTGATTTGGTACTGGCTAACGCGGTATACTTCAAAGGTCTTTGGAAAAGTCGGTTCAATCCTACCAATTCTAAGAAAGACATCTTTTATTCTTCCAAATCGCAACATTCTATGGTTAAATACATGAGGCAGCAAGGAAATTTCAATCATGGTAAGTTAAAAATTATTTAAAAATTATTTAATCATTTAATCATTAATCAATAATAAAAGCTAAAATAATTTTTCTTTGCAGTTATCTCCGAAATACTTGGCGCACACGTATTGGAGCTACCCTACAAAGGGAACGAAATCTCCATGTTTATCCTCCTGCCGCCATTCGTTACAAAAATTTCCAACGATTCTACGCAAAACGGGGAACGGGACAGTATTTACCATCTGATCGAACGTCTCTCCACGGAGGCGGGATACACGGAGATCCGCGATCTTTTAACCTCTGATTCTCTCCCTCAACCGGTAGAAATCATCCTGCCGCGATTCGAGGTCGAGAAGGAACTTCAAATAACCACGTTGCTCGATGCAATCGGTGCGGGCGAGTTGGTGATACCTGACGTGGCCAATCTTAAGGGTTTCGTCGAAGATGGTGAAGAATCGGTGCATCTTGGCGCTGCTGTCCATCGTGCGCGGATCGAAGTCACCGAGGAAGGGACCACTGCAGCCGCAGCCACTGCCCTTTACACGTTCCGTTCCGGCCGGCCACTGGTACCGACAGTCTTCAACGCCAATCATCCGTTCGTCTACTTTATCTACGAGAAAGCAAAGCGCACTATATTGTTCGCCGGTATTTTCCGTAATCCCAATACTCCAAAGAATACTGCGGAGGCAGCTTGAGGTAATTTGTGATCGTTGTTTGTCGTTTTGTTATCTTTGAAACAAAACGTGTGCAGGGAATGAGTTTTGACGAAGTGTGTGACAAACTTAAAAATTTTTTTCTCTTTTTATGACAAGCATGATCGATCGATATTTGCAAAGGATTGGAGCCGTACAATTTTGTACAAAAATTTGTGTAAAGATTTATAATCGTTTTTAGAACGTGTGTAATAGTTTCATGAGGTTTAGTGGAATTAAATTATTGAAGAGAGCAATGAATTGAGTAATTGAAGTTGAAATTTGTTATACTGTATGTGTATATAACATAGAATATTCGAATTTTTTAATGGATGTTACGGTCGTTACGAACGAACAAAATATTGCGATTATGCCGCAAATATAACGACATATGTTCTAATGTTATAATTTAAATATCTCTTACAATATTGTGCAAGTTTGATATTCGTATATAGTTCAACGTTGGACTATTAATAAAAACTGATGAAAATTCTATTTTGTAATATGAATTTCAATATTATATTTTTAATATAAATTATGTAATAAAAAATGGTATATAATCAATATTTATTAATTGATTTGAGGGAAAGAATATTATTTCTTGATGATGAAAATATTTTTTTTTAGATTCTTTTAGAAAATGTGCATTTTTATAAAATGAATATCAGAATTTGATATTTTTATTATAAATATAAAAATTTATTTGTGATTGTATTTATGCTATGAAATTGGAGAATATTTTATTCATGAATATTTTATTTTTATGCATGAAAAATTGCATTGATACATTGTAATTGTGAAAAAGAAATGACGAAAGTATGTGCAATTAATATTTAGTATTTTTGGATACGCGCCCAGAGTAAGAATAGACAAGGAGAGTAAATGTGAGAGAAGGATAGAGATAGTTTAAAAATTATGAAATCAGCGCCATCTCTAGAGTGCCGCAAATGAAACACAATTTAGACAAGGAAAGTAAACATTTAGAAAAGGATAGATAGATTAAGAATTAACTTTCACCGCCATCTCATGATTATTAAAGATACTTCTATAACGGCAAGATAAGATAGAACAAGAATCAAAATCTAGCGCCATCTGTTAATGATTTCAGAAAAATACTTCTAAAATTCAACAAGAGATGGCACCACCAATACTATTTTAACCTATTTATCTCTTTATCTCTTTTTTTATTTACGCTCTCCTTATCTACGTATGTTTTATTTGCGACTCCAGAAATGACGCTGCCTGTCTAATTTTTATCCTATTTCAATACTTCTTCAATTATCTGCTTTCTATATTTGCTCTTGGCGCGTCAATTGAACATATTTTCGCCATTTTCCTACCTGTATTGTTAATCCTTAATATAAATATGAATATTATATTCTCAATTTTATAATATATATATCCGAATTTTTTAGACGCTACTTTACGATAACAAACAACGATTTACAAGCAACATTTTTATAATTTTTTAATTATTGAAATTTAATTTTAATCCCAATCATTACTAACGTTGCAATCTTATTCTGAACAGAATCGATAACGTTGAGAATGACACTAGAATGATAAAATGCTGCACGGACAACGAAAAAGAAAAAAAGAAAAAAGCATTGAACGGTTAAGTCTTCTCTATTCTTCATCTGCGGCAAAAAAAAAAAAAAACGTGATAATTCTCTTCAAGAATAATAAAATAAATTATCTCTCGTTAATGATACATGAATTACTCAACACTGAAATATCCGTCGAACGTTTCTAATCGATGCATAATAAATCAAAAGCCACCGACAAGTCGCGCCTCCATCGGCCGTGTTTCCAAGCAAATCGTTCCTCGGGTCGCGGTTCCATTCACTGGCATTGACGTCACTGAAAGCAACCGAGGTCCCGGTAAACGTGTGCACAGGCGACCGTTAGGCAGTAGCATCCGCAAAACTCGATCCTTGGGCAGAATCTGGTTGCGTCACGCGCCGATACAAGCGAACGGACACACGGACGCTCGTCTCGAAGTCTGGCAGTTCTTGATGCAGGCTTCGATCCCGGCGAAAGATGAGCAAACTCGAGATCCGTGAGAGATTCGCCGTACTTCCTCGATGGAACGACTTTTCTGACCACTTCTGCACGAACGGTATTGCGCTTACTAAGGAATCATTCTCGATCGATCTCTCTGCCTAACCATATTTTTTTCAGACAGCCAATGTAAGGCTACGAAGATGCGGATTTTCTTGCTGTCAAGAAATCCCGTACAGGGATCATCTTTGATCGATCGATATTCCCGAATAGACGAGCCATCTTCGAACCGAAGCGCTTATTTTTCTTTATTTTGAGATACAGCTTTGATTGGCGCTATCTGTGTGTAATGTATAATCGAACAGATTAGGAATTTTTACAGGGATGATAAGAAATTTATAAAAGAAAACTGAAATGACGATAATGAGATTAATAATACAAGGTATACAATACAATATATTTTTTAATTTTACCGATATTTAATCAATCTAATCAATAATTTTTTTTTAATTACTTTTTTTTATCATGAAAAACAAATATGATTAAATATAAAATAATATTTTTCATTACTTTTTAAATGCAATAATTTTTGTTATTAATAAAAAAAAATTAATTCTTCAATTTATAATTTTAACTTAAATAAAGAAAAAAATATCATTTATTGCATACTTAAGACAAGTTTCAAGAAGCTATTACAAAATCGTCAGATTAATCGCGCGATTAAAACCGTGAACACATAAAAAGATATTTAATCGCATCTTATCAGCAATTACACCATTATTTAACTGGAATAATGGCGTATGGAATTGTCGCAAGAACATTATCCATTTATTGCCATTGATCGCTTTAATAAAAGTTTCATTTAAACACATTCTTGTCGATCTCATCGCGATATTTTTTTTTGAATTACAAATTCCCGCGTATAGAATCGCGTGCCATATGCGGCAATATTGTATTGCGCGCGCAGACTTTATCTTCTATGTCCTTGCGCAGAATCATACGATTCCCGCGTAAAGACACGTGGCACCATTCCTTGCGTTTTTCGAAGCAGTGATTTCTAGGTTATCGATCTCTTCGTAGCGAGCAAGACAATAGACTCACGATTTCTGTAAGTATCTATTTACGTTTATGAATAATTTCGCGCGATCTGCAACTCCGATAAATAGGTACGATTTGAAAAAGCATCCGCTCTTAACGATTGACAGATAAAATTCTAACGGAGTCTCGGCGTTGATCGAGCAACCTTGACAGTCTCGGTAAACGTGGAAACATTGTTAAGGTTTCCCTCGATACTTTCACTTTCCTTCCTCCTTTTTCGCGGCAAGTGCACAAACCCGTTGCAAAGATCACCGTGAACACGTGCTCCTACGCTTTGACGCTAACGGTAAATCCCGATGGGTTTCTCGTTTCTTCATTCGAAATCGATTTCGAACGAACGTTGACCGTGTTGCTAACTAACCCCATTTCTTTTTCCTTTTTCTTTGTTTTATCTTTGTTTTATTCGTTGTTTCAGATCGATCGTGCAACGTTCTTGTTTGAAATCCTGCTCCACTCTTAAATAACCTCTTAATTGTAAGTAAAATTTGTATAATATATAATATATAATATATATTGTATATATATATTTGTATCCAATGAATCACCACTGTATATATTATTACTCAAAAGTTTAGATTCACTTTTAATAAGTAATTTAATAAGTAAATAAATAATTTCTAATTTCTTAGTCTGTTTCAATTTAATCTTACATAATGTTACATTGCGAATTAATTATTTAATAAATTTGTATGGATTTTTATGTGTCCGATATAATTTCAAATTAAGAGATATAACCTAATAAAGCTTATATAGTTGTTTAAGGTATTATTACATTAATAGTTTTATGACATAAATAAAATGAATATAATTCTCTAATCTTATTAAAGATAAAAAGTACCAACTATATTATCTTTTATTTTATATTATACATATTATACATCTTTATCATATAGACATATATACATATATTTATATACATATTAAAAGTAAATATAAAACTTTTGGGCTATAATATTTAAATAATATGATAGAATTTCTGAAAATTACTATACGTAATTAAAATAAAAAGAAATGTTTTATATATATATATATATATATATATATATTATATATTCTATATAGTAATTTTATATTTTATATACATATAACATTCATTTAAATCATCTATCATATATAATATTATACTTGCAATCAAACTAATAAATATATAATAAATATGTAATGACATTATACATATGTATAATACTTTATTGTATTATATATATTTTATTTATAAAATAATACATATGTAATGATAATACATATGTATAATACTTTGTATTTTATATACTTTATTGTATTATATATACTTTATTTATAATATTATTCAAAATTCAATTATATTCAAAATGTTTAATATTCAAAAAGTCTAATTAGCTATCATAAAGCATCTTAAAGATAGTATGTGATACAATAATGTAAAGATATACGTAATTAAAATAAAAAGAAATGTTTTATATATATATATATATATATATATATATTATATATTCTATATAGTAATTTTATATTTTATATACATATAACATTCATTTAAATCATCTATCATATATAATATTATACTTGCAATCAAACTAATAAATATATAATAAATATGTAATGACATTATACATATGTATAATACTTTATTGTATTATATATATTTTATTTATAAAATAATACATATGTAATGATAATACATATGTATAATACTTTGTATTTTATATACTTTATTGTATTATATATACTTTATTTATAATATTATTCAAAATTCAATTATATTCAAAATGTTTAATATTCAAAAAGTCTAATTAGCTATCATAAAGCATCTTAAAGATAGTATGTGATACAATAATGTAAAGATATTATATATTGTATAATATAATATATATATATTATATAATATTATATATTATATATTATATATTATATAATATTATATATTATACATTATATATTATATATTATATATTATATAATATTATATATTATATATTATATATTATATAATATTATATATTATACATTATATATTATATATTATATATTATACATTATATATTATATATTATATATTATATATTATATATTATATATTATATAATATTATATATTATACATTATACATTATATATTATATATTATATATTACATATTATATATTATATTGTATAATATAAAGATATATATTATATATTATATATTTTATATTATATATTATATATTATATATTATATATTATATATTATATATTATATATTATATATTATATATTATATTGTATAATATAAAGATATTATATATTGTATATTATATTATAATGTCAGTTCGAGATGAAGGGCTAGTTTCCCATGAAGTTTCGCTCTTACGCGGGTTTCCTTGGCGAGCCTCGAAATTCTAGTGTGTTGGGATATCGTATTCATAAGGCACGTATATTAATGGACGTACGGCACACGGTGCTACACCGGTGCACGTGCAACACATAAACCACTTCCTTGACAAGACCCAGTTTCGATGTCTTTCGCGTATGTCGGTGCTTAATTATGCTAAAGGAGCATTTACACGGGTGCAACGCGCTAGTAGAAAAAGAAAGCACTTCCTTTTTAGCTTGTTTATCAATCGTTGATTATTTATGTGCGAATTTTTTGCGAATGTCTTTCTTTTTTTTTTTTCAATTCGATTGTATTGGGAAAATGTTATAAAATGTTATCAAAGGAATTTTATATTGCAATTACGATAAATTTAGCTTGGTTTATTAAATTTTAAAATTTTCGATATCAATACATATATTATATTAGCATTATTCGTGTTTTGTTACGAAGATAATTGTAGTATTATGAGTATACGTAATATGATTAAAATTATTTGTAATAGACAAGAAATATAAAGAATAAGATTCTCTAAGAAGTTAATATTTCATAATATATAATACTTCATTATTAGAATTAATATTAATTTATCCGGGAAATGATAATAAAATTATAAAAAATGAGGTTAATGTCATTTTTCTTCTAATACTGTTTTTCAATATCCTGTATTATAAACAAGATTTTTGCAGTAATGAAAGATTATAAATTAAAATGTGCTGAGGTATTATTTTTCGCTAAATCATTTCAAGATTTTCATAGCGATTTATTTACGTGAAATATTCAATAAATATATTAATCATCTTTTTTCTGTTCTATATATTGAATTTCATCCAATTAAATTTATTTCTTCATCAATCTTTATTTTACGGTGAATTTATCACCTAACCTAAAAACATCCGATTTCTCTCGATATTTCTTTAAATATATTTTATTCTTTCGTTTCAAAATTGAAAACAATATCTGTGCATACAAATATTACTGATTGAAAAAGAGACAAGGAAAAGATAACATGGGAATAACGTTAAAATTAAAAATTAACACAGCAAACAACGCTTTCATTAGCTCTTCAACTCTGAATGGCCTCGGCCTTCACGTAGATGGCGCTTGAACACTCACAAGGCTGCCCAATAAAAGGCGATAAAAGCCCAAAAACCATGCAAAGGCGGCGGCAATAAATCACTCGACAGGACCGTTTTCTCGCAACCTGCAATTTAAGCTCGCTCTTTAAACTCTCCATTAAGTACTCGCCTCGTCGTTTTCAATATCTTTTCGCGGCTCTCTCGTCGACATGTTTTTAATGTGTATTTCGCGACCAAGTGTTTACGACTTTTATTAACGCTCGCGAAGATCCTGGACAATCCATCGAGGACTCTTCAAACAGTTTGTATTCTCACTCATATTGACTTTTTGTTCGTCGATTACCACGACGTTTTGTCGTGTTCTTTGACAGCTTCTCCGCCGACCGATTTTTCCTTACGATTCCTCGTGTTTTGTGAATTTGCTATAACTTTGTCGTAATAAGTAGATTCGAATCTACTTATTAAGATGATAACACCAATACCCAGTAAACGTTGTAAGGATCTAAGAATCATTATGACGTCCATTACTTTTTATCTTTTTACCTTCTTAAACTGTAAAAAGACAATTAAAAATCCCAATTTTTTGCACGAAATTCCAATCACGATCTCCCTTCGTCAAAAAGGTGTTTCGAAAAAGACTCGGCATCTTCCGCCACGTCGTTCTTCATTGTTCGTCCGACTGGTCGGTCGAGCGGTAACTCGCTTCGAAAACCTGTCGACGGTCTTGTTTTTACGGTAGCGGAGATATCATACGGGTGTCGGTCACTTTCTTTTCACCGGCTCTGGGACACGCGGTTTTTCGTACACGCCTGTTCCACATCCTTTGTTCGCTAATTATACACTGGTCGTACGCGATACATAGCAAAACTAGATCAACAACGGGCAAAATTGATCGTGTACTGTTATTAATCTCGATCGATGTCTAAGTTGACAATCGAAAGGAGAATTGCCGACGAAATAATTGCAATCTAACAACATATGTAATCTAACAATTTCTGGATGTGGTTTTCCTTTAGTAATATTTTCTATTCCATTCGATGTGTCCAATCTTCGAAGTCATACGATTTAAAAGATGACAATTCAATTAACAACAAAACTTCGCAAGAAAAAAAGAATAACTCGAGAGAAATTTAATTAATCACAGAATGTATGCATAATCAAGATAAGATGCGCTCGACGAAATCTGATCATCCTTGAATCCTGAATTTTGGTTAAGCATCGATAAACATCCGAAAGATTCGTGTAATTTGATATCAAGATTCGTCATCAAGATTGCGAACGGATGGAAAAAATTGTTCGCAAAATTGTTTCGAACGGAAATGTATGCAAGGAGCAAATAATTTCGCAGATAATTCCATTGATAAGGTCGAAACGTCCCGTGGAAACGTTAGAGAACGAGGGCGAGCGTTAGAACGATAAGTAAATGCACGCCTTTAACAGCTGTTCCGCTAATGATAGCCGCTTGAAAATATAAATCCGCTCGTTTTTCTAATTACACCTTGGTTCGCGAACGCTCTCGCGCTTGTTCCGCGATCCGATGAGCCCGATAAAGCGTTCCAGTGAGCGCCACGGGATCTCCGCTCGCTTTGTTCCTGTCCCGCCGCGCGCGAGCAAACACATATTTACTTTCAGTCGTCATCCCGATTTCATAAAGTTAACCGGCTTCCCGAATAGCGTTCTCTCTAACCATTGTATTCTCACCTTGTTCGATGCGAATATTGTATTGTGTGCATCGTCTATAAGTTGTTTTATTGGGGCGTTAATTGTTTCGTCGGATGGTGCAAGGATAATAATAATAATTATTTTTTTTTTTTAATTTTTTAATTTGATTTTAATTTTTTTTTTCTCTCTGAAATCAATGCAATAACGGATAAGATACGGAAAAGTTGATGTAACGTCTTTTAGGGGTGATATTTGTAAAAAGAATTTTAAAATTGTGGAGGAAAGGTGAAGATTGATCTAGATGGTCTAGAGATTGATTTCACGTTTTCAAAAGGATTATCCGTTGATAAAAGTAATTTCACGTATAATCTATTACGCTAATTTTCATCAATTGAAATCAAAATTT